GGCGTTCTTCAGCTCGTCCAGGTCCCCCCAGTTCTCGATCTGGTTGTCGTTCATCTGCCATCGTCACAGACAAGAGGAAGGGTCAGGGGGCGCAGCGAAAGAGGACACACCACCCACAACCCCCATGAGGAACTCGGGGAAGACACAACAATCCTCACCCTGGTTCAGATATTGCCAGACAGACATACACCCAACAGCATGCAAGCACTCCCAGAAATTCCTGAGGACCATTACTGCTTGCCTTTGTATAGTGATTACATCTGTAATCACCCCCCCAAAAACCCAAAGCACCTTAGACATTGTAGGAGCCCCCACCTGGGTGAAGCACTCTACACCAGCAGATCAGTTGGAGAGGTGGAAAACACTTCCCGAATTGTTAGGATTGTTATGTATCTTATAGCACGGGTTTTCAACCTTTTTTCCATGCGCCCCCTCGTTTGTCTAAATTTGAACTTGCGCCCCCCCCAAGCCAAAACCCATTGAGAAAACAATGCGAACACCCTCATCACCCTCACTCTTCTTCTTCTTTTTCACAGCCTTAGTCCCAGACTGTCCTGGGGTCAGCTGCTTTGGTTGCTCTTCTCCACTCGTCACACTCACACAACATAATTGATATTATGTATACATACATGCATTTCAGCACCTTTCATTCATTTGCTTTAACAGCTTCTCGTTCACCACTGTTGTTATTTTTAGCAGTAAGACACCGGTCCATTTTTAAGTTTGTAATTGTGGTATAATGCGAAGTCGCAATTCTGCTGTAGCCTTCGCCAGCGAGAACAGACGGCAGGCAGCCTGCTTAGCCAGGGACATGAGACAGATTGCAACACCCCCCTCTAGAGGATGAATAATGAATTGCTATTAACGACTGAAACAACATGTTTGCTGCAGTTGTTTTGTTCTTTTTCATTGTACTTCCGTGTTTGCGCCTAAATGTCTCGTAATCTGGGGCCCCCCTTGACAGGTGCTCGTGAACCCCTCGGAGGCGCGCCACACTGGTTGAAAACCCCTGTCCTAGAGGACGCCAGACCAGAGTAGACTTGCAGGACAATAGCCACATTAAGGCAGGGCTCCTGGGTTAACAGACACCCCTACTCTAA